AAAAAGATCAGACCCACAAATCACTACACACAACTATGGAAAAGAAACGTGTGAAGAATAAATTAATGGATGCTTATAAAATGTACTAATGTGCTACTCGTCTTATTTTTTATAAAAGAACAAAAAAAATAAAAATAAAAATAAAGAAAAAAACAAGACAGAGAAAAAAAAATCAGAGGTCGTAACGATGAGGATTTATAATGCGAATTCAGAATGGATTAGTTCGGGAATTGGAATACATAATTGATCCAATATTTCGGGATAATATAAAGTAAAGACATAGTAATATTAATAATTAATAATATTGATTGTTGTTTTGTATATATATATTATATGTGAGAAGGAAGATTTGATAAAAAAAAAAAAGAGCGAAATTTTATTGGTGTTCAAACTGTTGATAAATAATATGGAAAAATTAATAAAAGAGTAATTAAAAGCATTTTTCTGATTCGGTAAATAGAGATATAAACATAAAAGTCGCCAAAAATCGTGGAATATTACCCAAATTCCCTTAGGATTATCCTTGGGCGTTGTTTGCGATCAGATTATTTTTTGATAAACATGTTTACAAATTATTTACCAATTTTCACGATTTTTTTTTACAAGCACGAACCCTTTGACTCCTAACTAACAACTTAATGACCAAATTTGGTAATAAGACATTCCCCACTTTCAAGATGACAACCCCGTTTTTCGAAATGACCCTCCTTCATTAATAAAGACAGATTACACAAATTAAATATAAACAAAATTCAAGTAATACTAAAAATACATGATTTAAACTCGTTTCGTTGTATATATACAGTAATAACATGCAAATTTTTTTTTTGAAGACAGCGGAAAAAGAGAGAGAATAATAACATCATGTACCGTTGGGAAAAAAAAAAAATTAAACACCTTGCTGGTATTTACCGTTTACGGTAGCTATACAGATAAATTTAAATCTGCAAACTGTATACTCATACAGTATCTCACATTTTATAATATACGGATTTGGAATAACACCGTTCTGTTAGAAATAATTATGTATTTGTCATGTCTTGTGATTTTATGCTTCACCTCTCAATGGATAATTGTTAAATTGTTAGTATAAATGTTAATGAAATATTATTAAAAAAAATAAATATAAATAAATTTAAAATAAATATAAATAAATATAAATAAATATAAATAAATATAAATATAATAATGGCCAAACCAAGAATACATAATAACAAATAATAGGTTTTATGCACCTATTATTACAATCTAACAAATTTAAACAATGAAATAATAAAAAAAGAAAATCCAACTAATGAGCGTATAATTAGATAAAAGTTTGATTTACTATATAGGTAAATATAGTAAAATATAGTAAAATATAGTAAAATATAGTTAAATGTAGGTTAAAAAAAATAATTATTTGAGATAATGAAAAATGAAATGATAAAAAATATATTTGCATTATGTTAATGGTTTCTAATAAAAAAATATTTTTTAAGTAATTGTGATATACAATTCTTAATATTACTCATAAAGGAGATAGGTAGAATTAATTCATATAAAACAATTCTGGTAATCTTGAAAGAAAAGAAGATATCATTAATGCAATGTCAACGAACAGTTGCACAGCAGATTAGAAGGAATCGAAGAAATCGAAGATAGAAGAGATTGGCTTTTCACATACTTATATTGTTTTCATTGACAATATTAATAGATATTTAATTAAATATTAATAGATATTTAATTAAATATTAATAGATATTAATTAAATATTAATATAATAATGAATAATAATTAATTATTTTTCTAGCGTATGCTTATTTAATAATTTTTTAATAAATTTTTTAATAATTTTAATTTTTAAATAATTTAATTTTTAATTAAATAATTTAATTTTAATATTAAATATTATTTTATGTAGATTATTACGTAGGTTATGCATAGGTAACTTAAGTAATTAATATTTTTTTTTTTCAATTTACTATTATGTTAATAAAGTGGCTTATCTATTAATAATTAACTAATGAATTAAACATCTTACCCAATTTGAATATATTAAATTTTAAAAATTATATAGAAAAATGTAATATGAAATTCGCTATTGTTCTTTTAGGTCACACGATAAATTATGATAAGTTATAATTAAAAGAAGAAAATAAAGAACTAGGTTAGTCTTTACAATTTTTTATGGTAATATTATTTTATTTATTTTATTGATTATGCTAAATTAGAATAGGTTAAAGAAGACAATGTTAATTATTACAATATAAACAAAATATAAGATAACAATGATTGTAATAATTCTATAATATAAAAGTATATATTAGGCGTAAAGCTCCGGCACATCTTCGTAAAAGGTAAAAGGGTGACATTTAATCGGAGGTGGTGAATATCGAAGGCTAAGTAGGGTTATTAAACATTATTAGTAAGTTTTTTTGGTCCCTAAACATTTAAGCAAAAAAACGCCAAATTTTTAAAGAATTCCAAGATCAATTTTTAATTATTTTTAAGGAGTTAAGAAAAAAAACTATGAATAAGAAATTCTGTACTGCGTATCGTGGTAATGATGACGTTATAAAATAGTTAAACAAATTAAACAAAAGTAATATATGCTAACGATATAAAGTCTATAAATCTGGTTTTTTTTTTTTTTTTTTTTTCCAGTTTCTAATATTTATATTCAGATATTACGACTCATGTAATTATTTTATTTTACACGTGCAAAAAATAATAATCTAGCTAGATCTACAGTATTATTAGATGATAATTAAATTTTACTCGTACCCAAAGAAAATGGGAATAAAAAAAACGTTTTTTAATTAATACAAATTATGTATCCAGAATTTTCTATATTTCGTTCCACGAATATAACATTTTTCTTTGCTCATTATTCAACATTATTCATTCACGTTATGAATGGTACCAAGTTAATGCTAGTTTAATTGTTATTATTTATGATTATAATATTTGTTATGGTAAATGTTTATCTAATTTATATTATTGTTGTTATATTGTTGTTATTGATTTATTGATTGTTGTTATTGATTGTTTATTGATAATTATAATTATGAAAGCAGTAATCTGAATGTTAAAAAAAAAATAATAATAACAATATAAAAAATAAATAAAATAAATATACAATATACCTTAAATCTATTTTTAAATAAGGGATGAAAGAAAGTTCATTAAATTTCTACTTAACATAAATTAGTATAATTAGTATATGTATCAAAATATATCGATCGTACTTTATTTTCTTATTTACAAAACATGAGTAATGGGATATTAGCTTTAATTGTTCTTTTGTTCCATCCCTTCGTTTGTTCTTTTTTCTTATTACAAGAATTGTGCATTCATTTATTTCACGTTTCATTACATCCTCATTAAATCTTATTAGAACGTCTCATCAACCTTAATAATAACAATTCTCAAAAAAAAAAATAATAATAATAATAAAAATATAAATAAATAAATAAAGAATGTTAAATCTTAAAATTATCCTTTGAAAAAAAAAAATAAAAAAAAAAATAAATAAACAAAGAAAGTTAAATCTTAATTCTCTTTTGAAAAAAAAAAAAAAAAAAACCTGATAAATTTCTTCCTCGTGGACTTTCCTAAATTTTTTTTTATGCATAAAACAGATGGATGATCACCTTTATTGGCAATAATTATTATTAAAAATATCAGAATGGGTAAAATTTGTAAATTTGAGTTAATTGCATGCTGATAAAGTTATTTTATATCTACATATTTTTATATAATCAAAATATTTTAAATACTTTATTTTACACTATAAACTGAAAATAAAAAAACCTTATTACTTGATAAGGTTAACAAAGAATAAATCAATAAAGACGGTGAATATTACTTTTTTAAATCACCGAATATATTAAAACGTTAGACAGGATGTCTTACCAAAACTAACCATACCGATTTGATTATAAGAATTCAAAGTAGCGCACGGGTGAGCACTGTAGGTGATCGATCCTATCTGTCAATTATAAATCAGGTTTTTTTTTTTCCTATTTTTTTTTTTATTTTTTTTTTCTATTTTTTCTTAATTAATGCTACATCTTATTTCACGTGTGTATATGTATATAATAAATTGGTCACCAATTAAATAATCTTCAACTTAAACGTAACAAACATAACAAACAACATGCATAACATACTTAATAATTGGTCAGTTCCAAAAGAAAATAATGTTCGAATGACATTTGTCCTGATTAATAAAATAACATGAATAAAAGAACATTTTTATTTATTAACATAATCAAATAACAATTATAATTTGTATACATTTTAATTCATATTTTATGAAAAATCTGCTATTTTATTTAAAACAAACGTTCTATTTTTCTTTAATTTTATTAATTTAGAAATTAATTTGGACAAGTGATCATCTTTACGTACTGGTAATGACCGTTTTTAAAAGTACAAGTACAATTTAAACCAAAATATTATAGTGTTTTTATTAGATTAAATAACTAGATAATTGATGAAATAAATATAAAATATCTATAATTCCGCAGATGAATCTAAGCCAATTATTTACATTCGTTTTACGATAAGGTTCAATTGAAATTTGATCGATTATATGACAAGCCACAAATTACTAAATAATTAGAAACTTTGTAGGTACATCTTTAGAAGGTTTTTCTTTCGTTTGAACATATAAGATCTCACAAGATCTCATGTTCCAGATAGAAAGTGTTAATAATAAGTTAAATACCAGTGAAATTTTAATTTTTAATAAAACCATAACTTTATATACAGAATCCATAATAATAAATAATACTATAACCTTTTAATTTGAATATTTTTAGATGAGGATTAATATATATATCTACATAATTTTTTAAATAATAAATAAGATTTGAACTTCGGAAACACTAATCACTTTTTGATCACCTGATCACACTGATAAATTCCTATTTGTGATCATCAACCAATAAAAACGAACTTTCTCTACTCAAGAAAAAAAATTTAAAGATTTAAAGTAAATTGATTATATGACCTCATTTTTTTTCATCATTCATTTCTTCAAATTGTATATATTTTATAAAATTGCCATAAGCAATAGCCACCCCATCATCTCCAACTTTAACCGCTTGTCGTACGTAAGCGAATGGTAATATTTCATTCATTTCATCTTCCTCGTTGAGTATTGCCAACTGTTGATCATTGATAATATTATTAGGGTATACCCTATGTAAGACACTAGCACGTCGTCTAAGACCACTCTGCCGAAAATCAACAACTTGACCTTGTGTGTCTTCGTCTTCGTGGTGATGGTCGTCTTCGTCATCTTCGTGATGGTCGTGTGAATGATGGTCGTGTGAATGATGATCATTATGGTGTATTGTGTTTGAAGGAAACGATGTGGGAAAAGGCGGACTAGGAAATGTACTGTTATTAGAATTGGTTGATCCATTTCTTCGAGAAAATGTATTTATTTTTCCTGTACGGTCTTGATCGCGTCGTTTTAATTCTTCCTTTTTCTTTTTTTGTTGTTTTTGTTCAATCAAATCTTCTTCATTAACTAATGGTAAAACTTGAACACTTAATTCGACTTCATCATCATCATCTGAATTTTTATGTTCTTCCTTTTCTTCAATTACATGTGGATCATTAATATCTAATACCCATAATTCCCATTCACCTTCTGCACCATGACATCTTTTAGGAACTTGTTTTGATTTAGTCGATGAAGGTTTAATGTGTCGAACACCAATTATATTTTCTCGAAGTAACACAATGGCTGAACCCCCGGATTGGCTGACACATCCAACATATTTAGTTTGATAAGATACTACTCCGTTCCATTGTGCTACTTGTCGATGAAGCTGACCTGTATTATTACGCACTTGTGAAAGATTATTTTTTCCTATTTTTAACGCCATGCATGTACAATCCATAAAATCTCTTGTTAGTTGCCATACACGTACTTTTTCGTCTGTGGACGAAGTTACTATGGTAAAACCGCCCGTTCCCTCGGCATTTCCACATGGACAGCTTTGTTCCTTCAGAGGATGGATAATAATGTTTGTAATAGCATCTTGATGATGTGGAAGATCACTATCGTCGTCCGTCTCTTCTTCGCATTCATTTTCGTTCTCATCATCATCATCATCATATTCATCATCATCTTCTTCACTTTCTTGATTTGAGCAAAAATTATATTGATAACCATTTGACCGAATAAATTGCTGCTGACTGGATGACTTAATATTATGTTGTTGACCGTTTGACTGGATAAATTGTTGTTGATTTTTAATTATTCGTCGTTGTAATAATCGTTCCTGTAATAATTGTTGTTTATGTTCTTTTGCGCGTTGTTTTCCAGTTGTTCCTTGACTTAATGTAACAATATGTTTTCCTGAAGAATAATCATATACTCTTACTTCTCCATCAGATGCACCAGTTACTAATATTCCAAGACTATTATTTCGGGTTTTTATAACTTTGGCGGCAATGCAAGTAATGACATTATTCAATTCCCCAGGAATCGTATAAAATGATTTCCATCGACTTTTAGGTGACTCGCTAGGGTCCGAAGAAGAAGATTTTGATTCATCTTCCGAATGATAAATAGTACGAATCCAACATTTGACAGATCCATCTCGTGCACCAGTATATATTCGTAAATCATCTTGATCATAATTTTGTTTACCTTCAACAACAAATAGATAACTTATGCCTCCTTTTTGATTTGTAGCAATTGTATGAACAATCTGACCAGAAACAATGTCCCATTCGCGAAAATGTCCACTTCTGTAGGCAGCAAGAAGCATCGCGGGTGCTTTATCATTTGAATTTGACTTAAAATTAGTATGATATCCGGGTTCGTTATTTGAAAAACTTGTTTTTGGATATGAATTTGGTACAACAATTTGTAAACAGGTAACACGTTCTCTAATTGAATTCCTGGTCATTACTGATATCACCGATTCTACATCTTCAACAGTATCTTTTAATATGTATGTGATCTGACCGGAGTGAATGTCCCAAACTCTAATTACACCATCTTCAAATCCAGCTGCGGCCCAACCAACTTTTTCATTCATACACATGGTCCTAACCCCCCCCCCCCCCCCTCCCTTCATTCCACCTGTAATACGACATTTACATGATTCACAACGACGCATATATCTTTCAAGTTTCTTCAAATATATTCCTTGCTTTCCATCCCATGATGTTATATGTTTGTCAGTAGCAGTAGAAATAATCATACCATCAGAATTTGCACATAATAAGTCAACATCTGCTGAATGACGACCACGTAAGGTTATAACTTTTGGAATTGCAATGATCGACCGAGTTTCACCACGAAATGTTGAAGATAAAACTAAAATA